TTCCTTCCTTCCTTTCTTTCTTTCTTTCTTTCTTTCTTTCTTTCTTTCTTTCTTTCTTTCTTTCTTTCTTTTCTTTCTCTCTCTCTCTTTCTTTCTTTTTTCTTTTCCTTCCTTCCTTCCTTCCTTCCTTCCTTCCTTCCTTCCTTCCTTCCTTCCTACCTTCCTTTTTGACTGAGTCTCACTCTGTCACCCAGGCTGGCGTGCAGTGGTGTGATCTCGGCTCACTGCAACCTCCACCTCCTGGGTTCAAGCAATTCTCCGGCCTCAGCCTCCAGAGTAGCTGGGACTGCAGGCTAGCGCCACCATGCCAGGCTAAGTTTTGTATTTTTAGTAGAGACAGGGTTTCACCGTCTTGACCAGGCTGGTCTCGGAACTCCTGACCTCGGGTGATCTGCACGCCTTGGCCTCCCAAAGTGCTGGGATTACAGGTGTGAACCACCGTGCCTGGCCTTGTCTAACAATTTCATGATGCATGTTGTTTCTTATTACAATGTGTTCCCTGCCCCTTTATTTCTCTTGCAGAGTCCAATATGAAGAATTGAAAAGAAATGTGATATCTCAACTTCTCTTTAAGACTGAACCCTAATGCTGTTTTTTTTTGTTTGTTTGTTTTTTGTTTTATTTTTTTTAAGCCATGAAAACAAAAAGTACCAAAGCTGTGCCAGGTTCTTTTTCATTTATGTGTGTGTGTGTGTGTGTGTGAAATAATAATGAGTGACTTCATCTGAGCTTCCGGATTCACTGGTTCTGGCAGATATTTGTACAGCTCTTTCACAAGCTCTCTCCTGACTAGCCGAGGTAGGGCATCCAATCTACAGTTGTGGAAAAACAACATTAGCTGAAATAGACATAACACCCACATTTTTTTATTAGCGTTGTTGCTTTCACTAAATGCTTGTTTAGCTCTTAGTTATCTTTCAAAACCTGCTCAGGCATTGCCTTCTCAAGGAGCTTTCTTTAGCCACACTTCTTACTCCCTCTCCTCCCCTAATGCTTCATTTTTCTTGTACTATTTCTAGACTTTGCATATTTCTACATTGAAACCGTCCTCCGCATTCTATGTGTCTACCTCTCCTACTGGTATGTGAATATCTAGAGAGAATAGATGTGATTTTGCTGGTAGCCCTCCACCTAACAATGAATGGCAAAGAGTAGGAGCCAAATAAGTGGACTTTTGCTTGACCTGACTGCAGTCATTTTTACAGAGTGCACCGGCAGCTCCAGAAGCATACTGTCCTCTTGGTGCAGGATATCTGCCATTGATGTTTTATTTATTTTCTGACTCAGAAAGTTTCTTCAAGGCCAGTTCCGATCTATTGTGAAATATCCTTTTTGTGAGCCACTTCCCATTCCATCCCTTAACACAGATATACGCATGGCCCAGGCAGAGTGTTTCTTTGTGCGTTCTAGGCAGTGATGGGAAATGAAAATACTACACTGCGTGAATTCTAAAACCAAATTTTTTTTTCTACTGCTTCTTGAATTGAAATTAGGGAGTATTTCACAATCAATGACATCTTACAATTATGATTAGCAGTGTTTTTTTTCGTTTTGAACAGTACCTGAAATAATATGTCTTATCATTGATGGTATCTTAAGTACTTATAAAAGAAGTCTTACTGGTCGCCAGCCCAGTCCTGCCAGGTTATATGAAAATTTGGGATATGTTCCAAGTGCTACATTAAAAATAAACCAAAACGGAAACAGACTTTGTAGAATAGAGTGAAAGGGTGAGCCTTGAAGAATCAGAGGGCAAGCTTCACATGCTATTCATTGTTCTGTCCCTGGTATCTGATCTACTATGCACATGGCACATATTTGTCACTTAAAACACAAAAATAATTGCTAACAGTCTTTGAGCCCTTACTATGCAGAGGTCACGGTGTTTTAAGTATTTTTCATATGTGAGCTCATTTAATTCTCAGGACAACTCTTTGATTGGGTTCCATTATGATTCCATTTTTCAGATGCATAAAGTCCAGCTGAGGATAGATAGGTGACTTGCTCTGAGTCCTATAGGTAGTAGGTAAGTGGCAGAGCTGTGTTGGACCCCAGGGCCATTTGACTTTAAAGACAACGTTCCTATGTTCTGTGCAGCACTTTCTCCCGAATGAATGTTTAGTTTAAAAAAGTGCTATTTCTACTGATTTTGATGGCTATTTGCTTGGGTCCCCCACCCCCAGTTTCCATTGGTCATTAAATGCTTACCTGAGATTAATATTTAGATAAATATTGCTAATTTCTAATAAATAGTTCATTGGAAAATATTTTCTTTATTTAATGTTCATAGGCAAAATCCTATCAAAAATAAAACTCCTAGCCAGGCACAGTGGCCCATGCCTGTAATCCCAGCACCTTGGGAGGCCAAAGCGGGAGGAGTGCTTGACCCCAAGAGTTCAAGACCAGCCTGGGAAATATAGCGAGACTCTGTCTCTACAAAAAAATAAAAAATTAGCCAGGTTTGGTTGCACACAACTGTAGTCCCAGCTACTTGGGAGGCTGAGGCAGGAGGAGTGCTTAAGCCTATGAGGTTGAGGTTGCAATGAGCCCTGACCATACCATTGCACTCCAACTTAGGTGTCAGAGCGAGATGCTGTCTCAAAACAAAACAGGAAAACCAACTCTCAAAAAAGCCATTTGTGATTCTGATAGTATTGTATTTCACAGAAGAGATATTGTTGAGATAAAATTTTTTATAAGTAAGAAAAAATGCAATCCTGTTTTGGAGAATTGTCACACTTGAGTTCCCTGTGAGAAAATAAATGAAGTTCAGTGGGCTTTATTAACCTCCTCTGTTGGGGCTGAGATGTGCTTTTCTTCCCAACACTAAGAATCTCAGGCATAATCTTAAGAAGTCACTGATGAAATTGCACTTCAGATACAAAAGATTCTGTTAGACCGCTCACTTTTTTCTCTTTTCATTCATTGCAGAGAGTCAGAACTAGAGGTGGTGGAGTGAACACCGTACCAGGCAATGGAAGAGGCACTGGCCTAGACCAAGCTTGAGCTTGCACCACTGTCACCTGGAGGGCTTGTTCCAACATGGATGGCTGGACCCACCCCCAGAGTTTCGGATTTATTAGGTCTGTGCTGGGCCCTGAGAATGTTTATTTAAAACAAATTCCTGGATGCTACTGGTTCAGTTGCCACACTCAGACCCGCTGGCCTTGAACTTGGAAGACGTGGGTTTTATTCCTGGATTCCACAGTTTACTAGCCGTCACTTAGAGAATTTAAATTACTTACCTAAGTCTTGGTTTCTTATTTGCAAACTACCTATTCTACCCATTTTATAAGACTTTTTAAAGGATAAAATAAAAGAATACATATGCAAATTATTTAAAAATCTGTCACTGTTGTTATTGCTAGTATTATTGTGAAAGAAGCTGTAGATTTATGTCATCCCCAGACAAGAGTTGACAGAACGTTTGAGTTGCACAAGGCCTGCTGGAGCACTTCAGAGAATTCCAAATGAATCTTGATTGCATCGTGGAATGTACAGCGCTGGGGCCCTGGGGACCATCATGGAACATGAGTGAAGACAAGATACGTTCTATTGTCCTCCAAACCTGCAGATGTGTGTTCAAAACCTGACTCCACGGGGCTTGACTCTGTATCCCATCTGGAAAAATGGGAATAAAAGTGCCTACCTTACTGGTCTATTGTGAGGACTATTTGAGATAATGTATTTATAGAACTAGCACAGTGCATGGCACATAGTGGGCACTCACTAAATATTAGCTCTTAGTATAGTTATGAAAACTAAACCCAATGGGGAACAAATGCAAGACCATCTTGGTAATACAACTGTATGTATTATGAGGTAGCCAGCTCTTTGAGCCCAAAAGACCATATTTCAGGACCAGGCACGGTTGCTTACGCCTGTAATCCCAGCACTTTGGGAGGCTGAGCTGGGTGGATGACTTGCGGCCAGGAGTTCGAGACTAGCCTGGCCAACATGGCAAAACCCCCATCTTTAGTAAAAACGCAAAAATTAGCTGGATATGGTGGCACATACTTGTGGTCCCAGCTACTCAGGAGGCTGAGGCATGATAATTGCTGGAGGTGGAGGTTGTAGTAAGCTGAGATTGTGCCACTGCACTCCAGCCTGGGTGACAGAGCAAGAAAAAAAAAAAAAAAAAAAAAAAGACCATATTCCAATGCTGCTGTTCTGAGAGAGCAGTTGGAATCACTGACCTCCCACGTTGCTTCCAAATGAGATTCTAATGTCAGCGCAAAGCAAATGCATCTGTCAGTTGCCAGCAACCAGGGCTGTTTTTCCCAGTCTTCCCTTATGACTGACAGCTACACCATTCATTTCTTTGTTACGACCTACCTTGCAATTATTAAGCAACACTTTCTGGAATTCCCTAGCAGGCAGAGCACTAACAATAGAAAAATTGAAATTAAATGGAGATCAGTCCACAGAGCTCTTCATTTTCCCTTGGATTATGTGACAGTGGAATCAAGCCTAAACTAGACAATGCGTGACAACACAATGAGCTCTGCACTAACAAACTCTGGATAAGCTTCGGCAGTCTACTTTGGGTGGGTGGAAGTTCCAGGCTTGCAAAACCCTGCAGATAATAGAAACAACAACTGGAGCACAATTGCTGACCCAGTTGCCAAACCTGATGCCATGTCATGGGGCTGGAATGCAGCTCAGTTCCATGCTGGACAGACTTTTCTCTTACACTTCATGCTGATCAGAAGTTATTCACCCAGGCTGCATGTCTTCTTCCACACTACATGAACTAACACTTTGCTCGTTCAACTTGACAGCACAAGTGATACAGATGGGCAGGGTGTCCTTAAACATGCAAGCCTGTTCCTGTGATAGCAAGTGATTGACTCAGCAAAAATGGAAGAGAATTTGCTCAACTTTGATCTTTCTCTTCTTCACTGGGTTTATGCAGGCTAGGTGGGTCCAGGACAGGTAAGGAAATGTGAGAGTGAGGCATTTCAATGTTATCTGATAGAACCAGTTGCCTCTCTTGACATTCCTTGCTAGCAAATATGAAAAATGCAGAATATGCCTAATATGCCATTTTTCCCTAAGAAAGGAGAAGTGAGATCCCATTATTATTAATTTTTCCAATGGAAATGCTCACTATGATTGCAGGATAATGCATCATCCATTTTGTAGACAACTCATTTTTTCTGATTTGATGTAAACTTTTGACTTTTCTGTCCTTTTTTGCCCAGTTACTTCTAATTCTGAGGACTTTTTTCTCACATTCTTTCATGGTTTCAGTCTCTGCAGCACTGACATCCTTTCCGTGTAACTCACTGCCAGGTTTCCTGGTGACTTCCAGATTCATAATCTTCTGGTGTCTTCCTTTTGGATGAGCTCTGTCTCAGCCACTCCCCAGGAGGCCACACCTTATGCTTGGTCACAACTCAGATCGACTCTACTTTCAGGATGACACATTCAGAAATCCCTTCCTTTTCTGCCTCCCTCCTTCCCTCTTTCTATTTTGTCTTTCATCTTAATTGAGACCTCTACTGCATGACCTTTACCTGGTCACCTACTCCGACTCTGCGTTTGGTTTCATTCTTCTGCATCAGTCTGAACTCACTGGTCCATCTTCAGTTCAGGATCACCCTACAATCCTCTTCTGTGATGTCTCTCAAATCTGTCTTTCCTTCCATTCCTGCAGGTGCTCTCTAAGACGCTTGCAAGGATCTCTCACCCAGTCTCCTTATCTTCCAGTCTGCTCTACTCTAATCTATATTAGTTATCCCTTCTAGGAGGATTATCCTGCTTTTAAAAAGCCAAGAAAGCTTTTCCAACTCTTATCCTCCAAACCTCTTCTACTTCTCCCTCCAACTCTCGCTCCAGCTCTTTCCTCTCCTTTGAAATGCTCTTTCTCATCTCTGCCTGAAAAATACCAATTGTTCTTTCTAAAGACCATCTCCAATAACATTTCCAGATTCCTCAAACTTTACTTGACGCCTTCTTGGTGTTATACGTCCATGCTAGCTATAGTGGTTTATATATTTGTTTTATCTTCTCTGCAGTGTGAAGGTTCATGAGCTCTGGATTTAGAGAGAGATTTGGTTTAAGTTATCAGTATTTACTGGTTGTGTGATTTCCGGCAAGTCACTCCATTTCGCAAAGACGAAATCTCCCCCTTTGTGTAAAGGGATGATGCTATCTATCTCATGGGATTGTTAGGATTAAATGAGGTAAAATGACTGCCATATTAAAGCCACTCAATTAATATCACTTGTCTTTTTCCCCATTCCGTGCATCCTTGAGATATGAGATTATTTCTACTCATTTTATTTCCTTGGAAGGCCAACATTGTTTGGCGCCTAGTAGGCTATTAATAAATAATTACTGTATTCATGTATTCATATCATGTGTCTTTGTTTTCCTGTTAAAAGTTAGAGCTCCAGAGACAATGTATTTTTCATTTGCGGTTCATTTCCTACTTAATTTTGGCAAGTTTAAAGCAGAATATTCTTTATATACTGAGCAAATAATTAACACAAACATCTAATGCCAACAATTCTGTCTTGTCTATTGAGAAAGACTAGCGGCTATGTGGTCTGTGTCTGGCTTGGAGTTAATTTGGAGTTAAATTGGAGACAATTTTTTTAGTGTGTGTGACAAAAACTCAGTCATCATGGTGATATTTGGGAAGCTTCCTTTTCAGCTTATTGATTTAACATGACCCAATAAGATTGTGGCCAGTCATGATCCTCTCCCAGCTTCAGAGCCAATAGGAAGTGAGCTGGGAGCACTGATTCACATCCTTGTGTGTACGTGTGTGGTGGGGCTTGGTGGGTGGGCAGGGGGGAAATTATTCCTGTTACAAAATCTAGTGATACTACAGTATTCCTGGCTAAAGAAGTGCTTCTTTTAGGAACAGCTAAGCTTCAAGCTAGATATGTTTGTTTAAAGTATCATGATGTAGATCAACGATTATTGAACTTGGAGTAGTGCAGAGGCTTGGACTCAAATCTCAGTTCCACTACACATCAGTGGTGGAACCTCATGCATGTTACTTGGATCTCTTTCACTTTTAAAAGGTGAGAACAATACCCACATCACAGATTGTTGTAGGGATCAAAGCCATGCTTATGAATGCACCGTGTAGAGTGCATGGCATATACAGAGAAAGCAATTCACAAACGTTAGCTTTGGAATGCCAAAGTGTATAGAGAACTTCTCATAAAAGAAAGACCTAGTTTACTTTGCAGAAATGCAATAATATGCATTGTGTTATCATCATCTGCCTATATGCCTGTGTGATAGTTTTTACGTGTCAACTTGCCTAGGCTATGGTGCTCAGATGTTAGGCCAACATCAATCTAGAAAGGTCTGTGAAGGTATTTTTTAGATATGACTAATAGTTCAATCAGCACACTAAGCAAAGCAGATTACTCTCCATAATGATGGTGAGCTTCATCTAATCAGTTGAAGGCCTTGAAAAGAAAAAAAGAAAAAATCTGAGGTCCCCTAAGGAAGGGGGAACTCTGCCTCCAGTCTGTCTTCAGACTAGAACTGCAGCATCAGTTCTTCTCTGAGTCTCTAGCCTGATGATCTCTGCAAATTTTGACTTGCCTGCCCCCAAAATTGCATGAGACAATTCCTTAAAATAAATCCTTATCTACCTATCAATCTGTCTATCCTGTTGCCTCTGTTTCTCTAGAGAACCCTAACTAATACAGCCCACCTTGCTCACTGGGTGGTAATTGAATGTCAGGAACTATATCTAACTCATCTTCACATGTCCAGTACCTAGCACAGTGCCAAATGTATAATAAATATTTATGCTTATTGAACTGCAGAGAATAGCAGCTCACATTCAGACACTATCTTATAAAAATGGTACTTGCACAGAAGGTTTAATTAATTCATTCCTCTACCTAGTTATTCTTCCATCAAACATTTTGAGGGGAGCTTATTCCATATGACTGTGCTTGACACGTGATGCAGAGAGAAAAGACAGAATGCATTCTCACTATTTCATGGTGGAGTGAGGAGATGGTATGAGGAGAGTGAAGTGAGACACTGGGAATCTGTTTATCCAGGCGAGACAACAAGGCAGCCTGACATAAGGGAGGACACTTGGGAAGGAGAGGAAGGGATGGGTTTAGGAGGTAGAAACAACAGCAGGTGGGAAACAAGGAGTGAGGCATCTCCCATGACTCCCTGGTGTCTGGTTAAGGTGTCTGGGAACACAGAAGAGGAACAGAGTTTCTCATCACCTTATCTGATCCTAACTTTTCTCAGCATCATACAACACAACCCCCTCATTTTAGGGATATGGATACAGAGGCTGAGAGGAGCAGGTCTTTTGCCACCGCCTTCATAAATCAGGAGCTG